AGGGATCCTAGTTAAGTGTTTTCTTTGACCCTGAATCCTGGGCAGAGATCATGCAACCATGGGCCCAGATTGTAAAACTAAAAGTTCCCAGCAGAATGCAGGGATACATTATAATTCTTTGAATAAGCATTCTTCAGTTTGTTAAAAGACAATGAGAAACCAGAAACAATGAGTTTTAGTTCTCTTCTTTCCTTTTGGGAAGGGAACATTGGAGTAATGTGATAGGAAGATGATTCCCTCCACTGTTTTCTTAAATGTAAACGTTCCACTCATGAATGGTTCCTTGCCTAATTCAGGAGCACAATAAACCTGTCCCTGAAAGTAATGTTTGAAAGAAGCAGTAAAACCAGTGAAAGGATAAATTAAGTTCCACTGTTCCTGTATATAAACAATTTGTATGTGGAACTTGAGATATCCACAAACAATTTTAATTTGTCTCTCTGAATTTACATCAAGGACACAATGATTTCCAGCAAATTACTTTGCAGATTTTCTACATACATTTTATATACTATGGGGAGAAATAGAAATAATTGGCACCTTTTTTTAAAGAAGTCAGAAAATCCTTAAGTGTGTGTGTGTGTGTGTGAATGTGAAAGGAACAACCAGTTAACAACTCATTTTCAGGAATGACATTAACTTTCATCTGACATGAATAAGTCCTCCACAATACTGGAAATCTATTGTAACAGTGAAATGTTGAAGTATGTGTTTTTTGGTCCTACCAACTATATCATTCTCTAATGTATGTTTTCCTCCCTGTCTTCCCTGTAATACTCCCCAATGACTAGAGTAGGCATGCCAAACTCACGACGTCACATGATGTCGCGCAACGTATCATGACTTTTCCCCCATTGCCGGCAATGGGGTGGGTGCAGTTTCAGTATGATGCATCCGGCCCGCGGGCCAGCAGTTTGACATGTCTGGACTAGAGGCACAAGCCAAGAGTGGGTCTTTCCCCACTTGCCACTAATCATCAGAGAAACCAGTCCCACAGCATCTTTTTTCTGCCATGTCCTCACAACACTGTCTTCTTCTCATCCCCAGTCTATGGATTAGGTTAAGCCATTATTAGCTGCATACGTGTGTGCATGCTTTCCAGTTAATCTTGATCTCCACCAACTGCTTGGACAAGTCCCTGCAATTTTATTGGCAACATTCTGAAAAATGTTACCCAGGTCTCCTTCCTAGGGCTGAGAGAGAGTGACTGGCATAAAGTCACCCAGCTGGCTGTTGCCTAAGGTGGGACTAGAACTCAGAATCTCCGTGTTTCTAGCCTGCTTTCTTAACCAGTGCACCATTCTGGCTCCCCTCATCATTAGCTGCCCTGGAAAGTTGTCCTGATTTCTTCTTATTTTAACACTATGCAACAGTAGTTGCTTTAAAATATATACAATCTGTTATTTTGCCATCCTTTTCACTGGATATGACACTGGTAACCAATTGGGAATATACATATAGAGGTGTTAATTTGGCTGATTTGGCCACGCCATGTCATCTTTATCCCTGAGCAGCCTTTACTGCTTCCATTCTGTGGCTGTCTCTCTGTGAGCTGGAGAGAAATGATATTAAAAATACTTGGTGGGTGTTCTTGCTAAGAACATGGCATGGAGGTGTCCAGAATATAGCATGGAGGTGAATTTGAATTGCATCAGGGTAATTTATTCTTAGGACTGAAGCAAAAGCAGTTTTGCTTTAAAAAAAAGAAAAAAAATCCTACCACACAAAAAAGAAAGAACATTCTTCCTTCTTTTAAACTGTCATTATTTGAAGGAGTTGGGAAGAACAATTTAAATCTCAAGGAGACAAGCTCTCCAGAAGCCCTTAAATAGTTTACATTTACCCTGACAGTTTAGGCGTTAAGAAAAAGAGTTGTCGCAGTGTTAAGTATCTGCAGGCTGCTGTATTAATAATAGCTTTTGGCCACTGCAGTTCATGTAGTTTAAGAGAGCTTTAGCTGTGGGCTGAGTTTTATCCAAATCTTAGGAGTTTAGAATAGCTATGCCTGGGCCTCTTTGTGTTATTTCCATTCTTCCTTCTTCAACAAAGCTTTTGGTGACAAATGTGACATTTACCAAGAATTGAAAATTATCAGGAAGATGGTTTGATATTCAAGTGCTCTCTTTAATAAACAGTCAAAAATCATATTTAATTGGAAACCTAAGCAGAATCTGGCTATTATATTTTTTTAAACAGTAGCTCTTTGACATTGAAGATTTTAATATTGCTTGTTTAGTGATGTTATATGCAGAGACACTTTTTCAATGAACCAAATAAAATAAATAGCCTTCAGCCAAATAAACTATATTTTTGATTGTCTGTGTGGCACAGACATTTGCTATCATAAACTACTCACTGCTCCTGCTTCACCAAAACATTTGATATGAAATTATTGTGAAATTATTGAAAGTATTTTCTTGTTTGCATCTGATAAGGAATTGCTGTTTATATCACAGTGTAGTAATTCATCTCAATCCTGCAATTTAGGGAGATTGTTTTTAGAAACCATGTCCAACATTCTCACAACAATATAAGTCTGTTCTCAAAACTGATTCTGCTTTGTAGCACTTGCTAGAATGATCATGTGACCTTACATATCTGCATAATCATTTAGGAAAAGCAAAGGTTCACCAAAGAAAGGTTTGTATAAATACTATTATAATTGCCAGATGTCAGGTACCAGCAAAATAATACCTCACAGATTAATTCATTATAATTCAGATGTGTTATTTTCTGAAAGATATATTCTATACTACTAGACATGTCAAACTCGTGACGTCACGTGACATTGTGCAATGTATCGGAGCTTTTTCGCCACTGCAGGCAATGGGGTGGGCGCGGCTCCGGTATGATGAAACCGGGCCGGCAGTTTGACACCCCTGTTCTATACCTAATATTAAACATATAATGCTTTATTGACTCAAATTCCCATTTATATTAATAAATATATTTGCATTGCACTTGTGTCAGGAACACTGAGATACTTCCAGATCGAAAGAATTAGCTGGTGACATCACTGTCGCCTAGGGACCCCCACTTGGGGGATCCTTCCACGTTTCTGGCAAGAATTGGAGTGAAGGACTGGAGCTCATCCCACCCCATGGCAATACTGCGGTCTGAAATGTGGGCTTGCTAACCTTCAATCCAGCATTCTAACCACGTGAGCCACCACGCTCCTCTAATAAATATATTAAATATATACTACTTCTCAATAAATTGTTGTCGTAACATAGATATTCTCTCTCTCTCTCTCTCTCTTATTCTTTCATGGAGGTATTTAGTGTAAATATACTAGATATATATTAAATGTGCCCATGAAAAAAGAGAAAGAGAGAGAAAGAAAGAGAGAGAGAGAGAGAGAGAGAGAGAGAGAGAGAGAGAGAGAGAGAGAGAGAGAGAGAGAAAGAGAATATCTATGTTATGACAGCAATTTGTTGAGAAGTAGTATATATCTAGTATACTTATTAGAGGAGCTCCTCTAATAAAGGCTACACACTTATGCCTAATGTCCTGTATAGATAAAAGGACAAATTGATCTTGGTATATGTGAGTTATAGATTGGAACATAGTTCTGTAATGATTGAGTGGTCTGATGTTCATTTTCTGCAATAATTAGTTCAAATATGTATATGTATATATGTATGTATATGTATGTATATGTATATGTACACACACACACATACATAAATATATATATTCTTTAACAATTATTTAACTATTCCATATACTCCCAAATATATATCTTTTACATTTTCTTTAACAATTATTTAACTATTCCATATACTCCCAAATGAAGTTGTAACTAACAATACATTTTCAACTTTTCTCTTACTGACTTACATTTAAAGTTTTGAACTATATTTCAAAAAAAGCCAAGTTAATACCCCACCCCCTTTGAATTGGATAATTTGTTTCTTGTTATCCTTACCATATTTACTCTCCTTTTTTGTTTATCTTATTTTTAAGTTTTTATTTGTAACCACTCAGAGCCAATGAACTTTAACATATAAAGTTAATAGATAATAAATACATGTATTCAAATTTGATTTTACTAAAATGAATACAGTTTAAAGCATTTTCTATTCCTAACAACAGCTGAATATATTAGAGCAAAATATATTAGAGTGTGTGTGTGCATGCATGTGTGTATAGGCTAAAATATACATGACAATTATTAATCGCCAGATTCTTAATTATTTTTGCTAATCATTTTTACAGGAAATGGACCTACATACGTAGCTATATCAAACATCACTTTAGATTTATTTGAGATATTATTTTATTCTAAATTGTTGTTAAGAACATCTAGTGCCAAATAAACATTATTAGACCTAACTGTTCCTGGTCATAATAAAAATGGTAGGTAGCACATAGAATTTTTTTTGACATGGCAGACTACCACTAAAACTTACCATTGTTTCATTAGAATAAACCACACTTTGTAATCTATTGTACTACTGATTTTCTTAATTCAGAATCCTCAACAAATTGTGGAAATCATTAATTCTTTCAGCTGGATTTCAACAACTGAAAGATGAAGCTGTAATTTGCAGCCACTAAAAATTACAATAATATATCATAAGCAACATATGCCATATGTTTTAGCCAGAGAGAAAAACTCCTGTTGTCATATTAAAAAAATCTTTAAATCTTTTATAAAGTGTTGATTCAAAAATGTATATATTGGCGTTACTACAGTCTCTTTAGAAATCAAGGATTTTTATGCTACTAGCCAATTGCTATAACTTCCACTGAAATAGTATTCTAAAGTACCAAAAGTGCAGTAATACCTTAAATCCAAAAGAGATTTGTATGTTAAACAGAAGCATCCTTGGAGGGAGGGTCCAAAAAGCAAGATGGCAGTGGTGCATGTAAATAAGGAGCAGGTCTTCAATTACACAGTTGCAGCCACCACCTTGACCTTTTTGACAAACATACCTTCAGGGACCTCAAGGAAAATTACTACCATTTAACAATCCATAAATATTAGGTTGACTTACGATGTATGCAAGGTACAGTCTTCAGGATTCTTTGGCTCAGCGTCATCTTTTCCTTGGAAAAATGAAAGAATAGGAATATTAACAAATGAGCCATAATTATAAATGTTAGGGTTAGGGTTAGAGTTGTGGTATAGTTGTGATAAGAAGCGCAGTTGAAAATGAATAGAAGTTTTTTTAAAAAAATCTCCATATATTTAAGTCAGCAATAAACATGAATTTTAATAAGCTAAGGATCATGAGTTATGTAACTGCGGCACTAAGATTATAAAATACATTTCTCTACTTGCATTGTACCCAAGATGCTGCTTTACTGCATATTCTTTTAAAATATAGTACATGGAGGCAGCGTATTCTCCAAAATACCAGTTGTTAGAGAACATTTTTGTTTTACTAGATAGTTATGTCTCCGTCTTTTCAGTACTATAGTGAATGGAGCAGTATGATTTCCTTCTAAACACTCCTATGTCTGTAAATTACATGGAGCTCCAGTCACCATCCCCCCCCCAAAAAAAAACTTGTCAAAGGACAATTCTGCCTTCAAAAGTATTAGTTTGGGGGGTAAATTATGTAAGACAATAAAGTATTGTGCCACCTTAACAACAAACTATTATTTTACACTAAGGTCAACCTTAAATTCTTTGAAGTATTAGACATGCAGTTTCCAGGCAAAAGTTAAATATGATTTCTCAAAATATTTTTGCAAAAAAGTGAAGTAACAATAGGGAAGATAGTTCCACTTGGCCTGATATGACAGTGGGATGTTTTTTAGGTCATTAAATGTGTAGAACTACATATTATGTAGAACTACCAGGGCTTTTTTTCTGCCGGAACGCGGCGGAACGGCGTTCCGGCACCTTTTTCCGGGCCGGCCGCACCGGAAATAGCCCCTCCCAAACCGGAAGTAGCCCCTCCCACATTTTACTTGCATCTTTTTTCTAAAGGGGCGGTCCTAGGGTTTGATGGGGGCGTGGCCAGGTTTGAGTTCCGCCACCTTTTCGCTGAGA